AGTCCCCTGGGCCTCCAAGTACGGGTACGTCACATGAAGACATCTGCTAACCCCTACATGACATGCTACATGAAACCTTAAACCTCCCTATCCGCCAAAAACGCTTAACCTTGAGCCCTCTACCCATCCGTAAACTTCCCTATACGCCAAAATCGCTTAACATTGAACCCTCTACCCATCCGCAAAGACAGGGGCCAGGTTTGATTAGGAGACAGCAGCATGTTATAGGAGCCTGAATATTAATCTTACCAATACTATATTCCTTGGGGCTTCTGTTATAATTCTGGTATAAGATACCCCTAAACCCTATCCTACAACGCCCCGTTATTATTCCATGATGCTGATTAATGCTGATGCTGGTTGTTCGAGGGACCAAAGACCCTTAGAAGGAGGGACGTGGACATGAGGCTTCGACATCTGGGGAGTTGCCACAGGCATAACCTTAAACCAACATGAGCTCGGAGTGGCCAAACCCTGCAAACCCCTAAACTGCCCTGAACCCTGAAACCTTGAATCCCTTGAGCCCGAATCCCTAAATCCCTGCACTCCCACTCAGCCATCGTTCCTCGGTCTTGTTTTGAAGCACTACCTCCGATTGACCTTTGTCCGTTCCTTAAGCTTGCACTGCCTTTCATCCCAGCCCGCGAGTCCGTGTGAAACCCAGAACCCCCTGAGGGTCCATGTGCAAGCTGCCTAGGTATAGTGGGTCCGTTCATTTTTTATGTGTATATATATATACANNTAAATAAATAAATAAATAATATATATATATATACAAATGCAGTCACAGGCAGTGGCGGTAACAAGGCAGATATATAGGTGGGCGAAGCCCTAACCCCCCCCCCCCCCTCCCTCCACCCAAAACCTTCGACATGTGGGGTTTGGGACCCGGTAGGCTGACTCAGACGTAACATCGAAACAGCAAGCACAGCACATCCGGCGACGCAAGAAGTCCGGGAAGCAGAAAGAAACGCCAGACGAAACACCATGGGAGTGGATCTTCACTGTCATATTTAGCGCTGACTATCTTGCAATCGTTGTCACCATTGTCGCTGATTGACAGTCATCTCTCTAGGTGTGAGCGCGTCGAGCCCAACGCATTGACGATGCATGCAGCCATCGCTGCGTGCGATGCCGTGTGCCGGTGGCAAGTGGCACTGGAGCTGCTTGCAGGTGAGAACACCGCATCATGACCCTTTCAAACTAGGGCCCCTACAGAATGCGTATAGAACCTTTGTAGAACCTCATGTGGCCGATTCATGTTCAATCTAGAAAAACCTCTGAACACTAAACCCTAGAGAGTAACGTTGAGCCTTAAAACATCCAAAAGCCTATACACCCTAAACCCTAAACCCTAAAGACCCCTAAACCCTGAACCATAAGCCGTAAAGAACCCTACACCCTGAACCATAGGCCCTAAAGAACCCTAAACCCTAAACCCTGAACCCTAAACCCTAAAGAACCGTAAACCCCGAATCATAACTGCTCCAGGCATCAGCCCGTCGACGATGGGTTCTTGCCGCTTTGCTGCGAGCTGCGCGGTGGCTGCGGCCGAACGAAGTTGGGTCCCCGCCGCGTTTCCTCTAAGGGTAGCATAAGGAGGGTTTAGGGTTTAGGATTTAGGGTTTAGGGTTTAGGGGTTTAGGGTTTAGGATTCCCTTAGGGTTTAGGGTTTTGGGTTTCCTCTAAGGGGAGCATAAGGATTAGGGTTTAGGGTTTAGGGTTTCCTCTAAGGGTACCATGAGGTTTCCCTTAGGGTTTAAGGTTAGGGTTTCCTCCAAGGGTACCATAAGGATTCCCTTAGGGTTCAGGCTTTCCTCCAAGGGTACCATAGGCTGCAACTTGGGTTTTAGGATTCCGGGTTTGGGTGTGTAGGATCAAGTTTAAAGTTTATAGAGTTTTGCTGATTTTTCCCGAAAGCTCTAGGGACTCACATGTTCAGGCTTTTGGGCCCGGAGACGTTTAGAGTTTAGGGATCTATATGTTGTCAGGATTCAGGGAAGTCTCCCCACCAGTGTGGGTTGCTTAGGACCACTCTGAGCGCTGCAGTCGCAAGGAAGAAAAAAGAGCTCTTTGCTGCAGGGGGTTCAGGCCTTCCAATAATGAAAGGAAGAAGCGGTAAGTGATAGTACTAAACCCTAAACCCTAAACCCTAAACCCTAAACCCTAAACCCTAAACCCCTAAACCCCTAAACCCTAAACACTAGGATCCCGAATATGAGTTGAGGTGTATCCCTTGATTTAGGGATCTTGGAAGGGCTGCAGGGGGGGGGTTCATCGCTGATTAGGCTTTTGCTGCGGCAGGGGGCAGTGTCCTTCTTTAAAAGGTCTTAAGTTCCTAAATAGGAATACTTAACGGAACCCAAATCGAAATTCCTACTATAGAAACCCTATGTTCTACTGTATAGGTACTTAGGACTCTTTGGGTTTGGATCAGGGATACAGGCCCCTGAACCCACACTAAAGCCTTAAACACAAGCGCTAGACTCCTAATCACTTCAACCCTAAACCCCAATTAGGCTTCAGGGTTTAGGGTTTAGGGTTCAGGGTTTTGGGGGCTGCAGGACTCAATGCTTTAGGGCTTGGGTCTTGAAGTCAGATTCTTCGCTGAAGCTCGCCGTACAGAGGATTTGGCTAGTTTTGGCTGGCCCTAAACCCTAGACATCAAAATGCAAAACCTGAACCTAAAACCCTAAACCCAAAGCCATAAAGACCTCTGTGTCGTGAGCGCCAGAGCCTCCCAATCTTACCAGGTCTTTCAAAAGGCTGCAGGCTCTAGTGTACCCTAGGTAGCATTCGGGAGACCCTTAAAGGGGACCCTCCTTAACCCTCTAGGATGTTCAAGTATCATTGTACTTTTTGGGGTAGGTTCCTGATATAATATAACTAGCCCAAAAAGTATTTGCTTGTTCCCAGTTGGTTACTGAACAGCTTAGTTGTGGCTCTCGAAAGGGACCTGATGAGAGGGTCTATATCCCCCAGGGCCCCCCTAGTCCTAAGTCCTAGTGTAGGAGTTTAAGGGTTTAGAAGGTTTATGATTTGGGGCTTAGGGGGCTTCGGGAGAGGTTGTTCATAGGGCTTTCCAGGTGGAACTCGTAGGGGCCTTTGTAGTTTTTGTTTATTGCAAAGAGATCGATTTCAACCCCCCGGACCACATGCAGCCCTACAGAGGCAGGGATAGAGAGACTCTGAAGATTTTGCCCTAAACCGTATAAGCCCTTAAAAACCCTGCCTTCAACCTGAATAACCTACCTTTCCCCTGCCTTCAGCCTGAATAACCTACCTTTCCCCTACAAACGTAGATTATGCAGGGCCTACGGTAGACCCTCTTCGTCACTGACGCCAGGCACACGGAGGTTTCTCCCTTGGACCTGGTTCGGAAACACGTGGAGGATTGCAGATGTTGGCGTAGTTCCGGGGAACTAGGGCTCAGCATCTGTAGGGTTCCGTGTTGAGTATTCAGGGTTGCTAGGGTTCAGGATCTATGTCAAATGTGCTGTTAAGGGATCTACAGGGTTCTATGAGGGTTTGGGGTTTTAGGGCTTGCAAGGTTTAGCAATCTAGGGTTTAGGGTTCGTGTTTCATAGGGTTCAGGGTGCGGAGCTTGGAGGGTTTGGGCCAGGTTTTATGGCTTTGGGGGCTTTGGGTGGGGTTGGGACTCTGGAGAGCTGCTGCTTGTCTGTTTCGTCGTAGTTGCTGTATAGTTCTATGGACCCTCATCCAAGTATAATATAGGGGCCTAAATAATTACCTACACTTTTTTGAAGGTTCCAGATTATAATCATAGTACAATATACCCCAAAACCCATACACACACCCAGCAATTAAGGCGCCTATAATATACTGAAACCAGGACATGGAGCTTCACGGAAGCCTACAAGAGATCTAAACACCCCTTAGTTAAGTAGTATATACCTTAAATCATAATTCTGTTGATGATAAAGATCCGGCATTGCCTCACGGGCCCCGAACTATGGGAAGTATGGTATATTCCTTACTACGGGTAATGCAGGATTTATATCATCAACCGCATTAAGCCCCTTGTTGATATTTTAAGGATATTTGAGGTATATTCCTTAATTACGGTGTAATGGGATCTCTGGGCTGCAAAACCCTAAACCCTAAACCCTAAACCCTATACCCTATACCCTAAACCAAACCTTCGATCCTGCACTCCGGATTCTTGAGCAGATGCGTTCCCCTAAGGCTTTAAGTTCCCGAACAGTACGGCCTGAGGACTCAAGCATCTATCCTCTGAATGGGATTTTGCTACCCTAAATAAACCCTAAACCCTAAACCATAAACCCTAAACCCTGAACCCTACCCAAAAACCCTGATTTTTGGGCTTTCGGACCCTTTGAGCTCCATGTTTCCCTAATCTCTTCCAGGGGCCCATGCCATGTTATTTGATGCAATGGCCCAAAAAAGCTACAACATAGGAAGCCCTGGAGGAGCCTTTGGGAGGCCGGAACCCTGAGCTTCCAAGGACCTTATAGTTAGGGCCCTAGACCCTTAAGGACCCAATAATGAGGTCCGTAGACCCCTTAAGGACCCAAGAATGAGGTCCCTGGAAGCCTAGGGGGAAGTGCATGGGCTCAGGAATTCCAGAAATCGGACGCTTGAAAGGGCAGGGGGAGAAGACCAACACCTTGGGGTGGAGAGTATTTACAGCAATTAGGGTTTACGGTTCAGGGTTTAGGGTCTCGGATTTATATAAGGTTTATGGTTGTAGGGTTTGGGGTTCAGAGTGTAGGGCCATCTAAACCCCCATAGTGTACCCTATAGAACCCTAACAAGCCCTATTCTTGCCCTTGATGGAACCGGTAAAGCCACATGGACTCTTTACTAGGGCTTGGTTTATGTTTTAGTCTTGGTAAGGGCCGCAGTTCTCAAACCGTTTGCCTACACCCCAAACAAGGCTACCTGGATTTAGGGTTTAGTTTTACGGTTTAGGATTCAGGTTTTGGGGTTTCGGGCTTGAGGGTGGACAAGGACGCCCGGGCACTACTGGCGCAACAAGAAGCTTCAATGTTCCAGTGGAGCGGGATAGGTTGGAGCCAACCTGCTGCCGAGCGTCGGGGCGACATCTTCTCAAGCTTATGGACAAAGTCTGCCGCAATATCTTGGGCCAAAAGTTTGCCGCAGTAAACATCTTGGGCCAAAAGTCTGCCCCAATAAACATCTTGGGCCAAGCACCCACACACGACACGGACTCCACATCATCGCTTGGGTGTGGTGAGCTGCCGCAGACAGCTTCCGACTTTTGAGCCCCAGAGACAGGACAATGTCGAGGCTGAGACCTATCTGGACAAGAATAGCACATGTCATCACGCATTCGCATTCCGTTTGTCTCATGATAGATTGCACTTTGACTTTCAGTAAGCGTGAAAGAGCCCAAAACAGAGAGTGGTTAAAATTCAGGGCTTCGGGTTCCAAGTCATCCCACCCTGGAGCCCCAAAGCCCCAAAACCTTGACCTACCGGTACAACCTAAACACCACAATGAAATCTTACAGCCCTCGATTGTAAGACGTCAAAACCCAACAGCTTGGACTTCCTAAAGCCCAAATCTGAACCCTGTACCCTAAGCCCGTGAAGCCTAACTGGAGCCACGAAGTCCGCGAGATCGCGGCAGGAGGCTGCAATTGCGGAAAGCGATCCCAAAAGCTTGGCGAGGCAGCAACGAGATCTAATTCTAAAACCTGAACGGCTGCCAACACTAATCCGAAGGGCCCTCGTTACAGTCTTGCCTTGATATGTCTTTTCTTTATAACTATTCTCATGGAGGATCCTATGATAGTTGGGCGGTAAGGTTTGTGTAAGGCTTCTACAGAGTTGCACGATGGCTCCTTGGATTCATGGGTACTTTAAGGGTTCCACAATGTTTGATGAGTGTGTTTGATGAGGACTCTCAAGGCTTCAATGCTTGCACCCAAATGTAAAGGCTGTGTGCAGTTTCTACTGAGGTGAAGGGGATCCAGGGCTTATGGCCCATGTATTTCTTACGTTGGGGCTTGGTTTGGCGGTGTTTATGTGTTGGACATTGGTGTGGAGAGATCTCGGGCTTATACTGCGGGCTGCATTACTGGGACGGCTTGGACAAGCCTGAGGACGTGTCCCAGAGCTTGAAAAGTTTAGGGTTTCGCGGGTTTTAGGGTTTGAAGGTTTTCTAGGGTTGGAAGGTTTTAGAGTTTCAAGGGTTGAAAGGGCTTACTGTAGGGCTGGCGGGGTTTAGGGTCTAGGGTTTACCTCCCTCTTTGGTCAAGTGAAGCCTTTCGGGTTGGTGGGGCCTGTTGAAACAACAAAGATGTGTGAAGCATTGTTGCTCCAGCACGGTCGCCACAAGCTGCACCCAGCCAACCTGTGCCAGCCATGCAAACCCTGCATAGATTTTTTCTGCTCTATTCACTGTTGAGCTCTCCAGCTCAGTCAGTACCTGTGAGATTGTGGAGCGACCTAATCACGCCTCATTTGCCCCCAGCTTGGTGTGCTATACTTCGGCATTCCTGGTCTTGGCATCTGCAGCTAGACCCGCTGTTTTGCTTGGTGGATCCGGCAGATCAACCGCCACAAATGCCAGATTTTGGCTGGCAAAGTGG